TCTTTCGGGGACCTGAACAGAGTATCATTCCCTCTGTTTTGAGGAACAGGCCGTTGGAAGTTTGTTTGCTCTGTATTGGCTCTATGAAAGACTCCTGCAACAGCCGTTTATGATTAAGTATCTGCCTGATAATAAATGAGTTAGCGGCTTTACATCTTCAGGAATGTTGCTACTATCCCATCCAGAGCCTGAGTGTTTCCTGACCTGGAAGGGGATGTTAGCTTCCCTCTAATTGCTGAAGTAGCATGTCCTAAATGTTCACTGCGGGCACCCTACCCTCTGTGAATTTGCTCAGAAGAAGGAGCCATGGGCAAATGGGTCCCCTGGATCTCTCATGCCCTTTCCACAGCATCTGTACAAAATGTCACAGTGATGAGGTGGTGGAGGAAAACCTCTTTCACTGGGTTTGGCCACCTGGCAAAAATAAAGGTGGTGAGAACTCCTGACCTGGATGATGGAAAGCACGAATATCAGCCAGAGTTGTAAAGCTTGTAGGTGAACTCCAAAAATCGGCCATGCACATGTATGCAGGCTTGAAGGTCAAGATATCTCATGGATAAATGCACGTTTGTCACTGGAGTTGATCACAAGCCACTCACCATCAATCAGAGATGAGGATCTCTTGTCTGCGGAGAGAAGCCATGTTGGCTGAGAGTGTATCTCCCGCTCTATTGCAACAGCATTTGACAAACAAGGAGTTTAAGAAGTAAGCAAAGCATGCGTTTCCTTCTCTTCAGAGCACGCAGACAGAGAGGGGGAATCTTTGGTTCTGTTAAATACATCACCACAATATACAGGCTGGGTATTTTCAGAGCTATGGCCAGTCTAAAGAGAAAGAGCCCTGCAGTGGTGATTGTCTGCTCCCACGGTACGTTTTACGTACTGCCAGTGGGCTCCTGACATGTTCAGGGAAGTTGAGGGCTCTGACACAGTCTTGCTCATGATAGATGACAGATGCTGGAAAGATTAAAACATCCTCCTCAGAACTGAACTGCTCTTAAATCTTTAAAACAAGCAGATACAGCGATGCTGTCACCTGTTCTCGCAGGAAGAGGCAGACCCACTGCTGGACGGCTCTCAGGCAAACTACGAGCCCATGCAGAAAAAAGTAGTGCATGAAAATGCGAGGGCCTGTTAACAAACATTCTTGGTCAAGGTACTGCTAGCCATGAATAAAAGTCTGTGTTTTACTCAAATTGTCTCACCCAAGGCTCTACCTTCTCTTCGTCAGCCCGCTCCCCCGCCCCCAACTGAAGGTTTAGCAGCCATACTTACTCAGTGTAGTATTTTCATTTTAGTAAGAAGGATAGATGTTCCAAGGCTTTGAGCCACATTAACTAAAACTCAGCTCCACTTCTAACATTCAATTAATTCTTGGTTCTTCAAATTAAAAAAAAAAAAAAAAATCACAGGATCATCTTCTTGATCCTCTGAACATACTGTAAAACCTTCATTTTGATCAGTTTTTCAAGGCAATAACAACATGCTTGCTTCAAACTTTAAATGGAGCAAATCCAACAATTTTCACTGGTAGCCACAGAGCTCTTGAGCTACATGACTGGATATGGGAATGAGAGAAGCATGGGAATTAGCCTACTAAGCTGGGGAAAGTCTTTCACTTAGGAGCTCATTACAACTAAGTTCACACAGTACTTCATTGTTACCCGAGTTGCTTACCCCAGAAATAACAAACGTACTTCCCCCCCACCTAAAAACTTACCCTACTAAAAGCCAGGCTCATTTTTTCATGGCAGGGGGTGACCTTTCCTTTGCAGCACTGTAGGATTTAGGGTGGGAAGTGACCCACGCAAAATATCCTGGAAGCCTGCAAAAGCCAGCATCTCCCAAAAATCTCTGCTTGGACAGAGACATAAATGACGAGTTTGGGATGACGGTTGCTGTCAGCTGCAGAATAGTTCCTCAGTTTTTGATCCTGTTCCAGTTGTCAATGGCTGAAGCATTACGTCCACTCTAGCGAAGGGCGCTTCGGGGCAGAGGTGCTCTGATCCCACACCCCTCTAATAACAGCGTTGGTAATTAACCTGAGATGGCCGCTTCCTGCCTGTTGCCTGGACGGTGACTTTCCTTCCTGAAGGGGTCGGAGGACACTCACCCACCCGCCAGCCCTTGCCCGGTGCTTGGGTCGTTGTTGGGAGCCCCGAGGATGCGCTCCTGCCAGAGGGGGCTGGTGAACACCTTTTCCCAAGATTATGGCTGCTGTGGGGAGCGGGAAGAGTAAGGTGTGGAGGAGCGAATGGGGCCATAAACCATCTATTTATTTTGGAGGCGTTTTAGATTGCTTTAAGGGAGAATTTTGCTAACTTCAAGGATAGAAACTAAGTGCTCGTCAGTCACCGTTTAGCGGCCAAGTAACGTAACTGCCAGTAAAATAAACAGGATTTTAGTAACTTTATAGCTTAAAGTTGCTATGCTTCATTCTCTCCTTTTTGAGGCTGAGAGAGCTGAAAATGAAACATCTTCACAGTTAGTACTTCTTTCTAGTAGCTGTTTATTAAGTTTTAATTTGAGGAACATAGATGCATGCTGTGTTTCCACTAATGACTCAGATTTAAAAAAAAAAAGCATTTCTAGAGATATGGCTCACTAATTTTAAAAAAGTTAGGAAATTGTTTTCAAATGTTAAAATTACTTCTAATAAGTTACTATAATTTTTACTTTCTTGTGAATGTATCCTAATTCACTACAACTAACAGCTTTCAGATTTTTGGGTTTTGTCCTGTCCCTCACCCGTTCACCAGGGGTTTGCAAGCCGTCAGTCGCTTTCAATCCACTTTCCATTCCTGGCGCAGGAGCAGCTGTAGCCGGCGCTTCGAGGAATTATGTCAGACTTTGTCCCCTGTCTAACTATAAGCATTCTTCCCTCTGCTATTGTAGACCCTCTCCTTTCAGGCCACTCAAGTCCTGCTCACAGCTGCCTTGTCTTGGGATCCCCCCGCCCCATTCAGCAAAGGCTCTGATTTTTGGTGAGCTCAATTCCATCTCAACTTTTAGTAGGCAACAAAGCTCACACGTGTCGTCCAGACTGCCTGCGTGTTGCCTCTTTCCCCGTTTTTTTGTTAACATTGGACATATACTCATTTTACATTTTGCTCAGTGAAGCAGAAGTAATATATTGGTTATCTACGGAATGCAGAAACAGCTAGAATTCCATACAGTTATTGGCCAGAACTGCTAATACTGTAGTTAAGCTGCTATTGAGCTAATATCCTTAAATGCAGCAGCTTAAACCAACACCAGTTAACACCGGCGAGGATCTAACGCTGCAGTTTTCCCCAGATTTTTTAATTTACACAGTATCATGCCACTTCTCCTTCATCAGTTACAGCACTCGTGCATTTTGAAGGATGCCATTATGCACGTGCTAACTGCGTTGCTATCAGTACAAAACAGCATTCTCCTCTTTCTCTACAACTGCTCTTTGCCAAAGAGTAGATTTTCATCCATGTGCTTTTGTTTCCTGAACTCCCCAGCTGAACTATGACCTCGCAGCCAAAAGACCCCCTGCTTCGGCTGCAGTTCCTTTTCTTAGGTCAGATAGGAAAGAACTCAACCATGTATTAAAATAGGAGCTTGCTAAGCCCTGGTTCACAGCTCACTCAGCTTCCCACTGCCGTTCCAAGGGCTTTAAGAGGTAACACCTCCTCCCTGGAAAGAGCCTCCCTCTCTCCCTCCCCTTGCCCCCCAGAACCAGAACAGAACCCAGCACAGAACCAGCAGAAACATTTTTCTCTTCTGAATTACAGTTAGCTACCAGTTAACTTCCGAGTTTAGATTTTGCAGTGAGGACAGGAAGTGTTTCATTGTGCTAATTCAAGTTTTCTGGAGGCTTTTTATATAAAACTATTGAAATTAATGTCCTTCATAAAATTTATCTTGACTGTTTCCTCCAGAAGAAATGAGGAATAGAGGGAAAAAAGGAAACAGAGTAGACAGGTTTGTTTTCTTCTTGTATAAGGCTAATCCACAGAGGGTAAAAGTTTAATTATCTTAGCGTAAATAGCATGTTTGTTTAGTGCTCTCAAGTATATTTTCAAATTAAACAAGTACAGCAATGCTGCTGTTTCCATCTGGATTCCCAAACCTCCCCACACCTACCTGAGTTAACAACAGATTGCAAACTCTCTCAGATTACGTATGGGGTGGGGGGAAAGGACTATTTTTGCTCAGCAAATGCCTTTAGACCAAAAAGTGCTTACAGCATAATATACTATAACTTGTTTTGTGGAAAAAAAAAAAAAAAAAACAACAAATAAATTGTGTCTCTGGTGCAGACAGTAGCAAGCAAGGAATATTATGCCACCACTCATATTTTACCAATATACAATTACACTTAACACTGTATTTCCAAATACGATGGTCTCCTTGACATTATATAGTATTTCTTTCAGCTGAAAATGTGCAGTGAAATATACAAGTAGAACATGCCTTTTTTAAAAAAAGAAAACCAAATACTGACCATTGCTACTTTCAAATAATGTAAATTATTATTTCACCAATTGTCAGGAAATGTTTTAAATAGAAGAGCAAGGTTTTTAATTAAGTAAAAAGATTAGTTGCTTCGATAGCTTAGACTGCTTCTGAAGTGTGATTTTATTCTTAGTTTCGCATGGACTGAACAAAGATGGAAATCCTTCAACTTCACAGCAAATATAAATTAATCTTCGGTTATTCTGAAGTTATTCCGCAGCTGAAACCTTACAAAGGCTACTGATATCACCCACCTTGCACAAGCAAAGCGTTCACCTACTGTTTAAATATTCCTGTTTTACAAACAGCACAATTAACAGTAGCACTGAAGGATATATTTACTCAGAGAACAGCTGATGAAAATATTTCCCTGTATTTAAATGAGATATAATTACAACTTCCCTAAAATGAACCATTCTGTTTACAATGAAAGTTAAAGCAGTCCCAAAACCTGTCATTGATCCTTTGAAACCCTGTAACAGAACATGTCAGTTCCCAGATGTTTAACAGGAGGTCACTCCTATCTGTGTACATAGTCATATACATACATACATATATGAAACAAAGAAAGGCTTGTGTACTGACTTAACAGATTCACTATGAATTTCTGGCTTGGATTTGCTAGGAAAACCAGCATGATTTATCACTTTTAGGCACCTCGCACATTTGCAGGGAAGACTGCCATTTTTGGACCACCTTCTCCCAGAGCTGTATTAGACCACAGATTCCTCTACAGCAGACTATGAATCACTTCTTTCATTGCCAGTTTGTTTTCTTGTTGGATCAAGAGCACTGCCTTCAAATAAAATTTTGTTTCTCATTCCTTCTTTAAGCATTCTTTGCCGGATCCTATGTTGGGCCAAATTGTACCTGCAGTAAAACCTAGAGGAGGGGATGAAAAGAAAACACAATTTCCTGCTTTATATGAGTGACAGTATCAAATCAGAGTTGTTCAGCCAGTTGAAAAGTTGAAATCACATATAATAATGCTAGTAAAATTAATTATGAAATGATGCATAACGAAAATACTAGGGTAACTGCTATTTCTTTAAGGCAAACATTACGCAGCCACTGAGGAGTGGGATATACAAGCCCGATGGAAAACACTCATTTCTATAATTTGGGTCTTAATTTCATGACCATTTAGTATGCTGCTTTTAAAATTAGAACAACAGGCTGGCATATGTGAAGGTAAAAAGAAAGGAAGGAACTGAATAGTTTGATCTCTTAGGATTCAAGAAACAATAGCAAGTTTAAAAAAAAAATATAAAAATTCAAAGGCATTGAACTCCTTTCTTTTAAAAAAAGAAACAGTTCTGGGAGAACAAAGAGGACGCTTTGCTAGGCAAGTTTTTTATGGAGTTTAAAAAACAGTGTGAAAGGTCACATGGGGATCATGTTGTACAAAGCAGCCAACATAGGTCTGTCAAAATTCAAGAAGCGTTTTACATACCAGTATCCTAACATTGTGCAAATAAAGCCACCAACTGCAAAGTCACAAGATCTTCTAACTCTACCTGAAAGAAAAACAAAAATCCTCAGAAAAATTAGAGAAAAAACCTTGGATGACTTCCCATTATTAATAAAACCTAAAAGCAAGTACGAATTAATTTTTCCTTGCAAATAAATAAATAAAAAGCAGAAGGAATAAGTACTTACTAGTTGCTAAAAAATGTCCAAGACCCACAACTAAAGATCCCACGGAGCCGTAGAGCACTGATTCTCTTGCACATGGGACACTTTTAACATCAAGAAATCCTAGGAGTTTAAAGGACTGTAAGAAAAAAACCATACGATAATTATAAAAAATTACTTTTTTAGCAGTTTATGATGCCAACTACATTGTAAAACTGACTTGTTATCTTAGTAGTCAAAAATAATCATTTGAGGATTTCCTACTTCCAGGTTTACATGCGAGCAAAAGCGCACATGAACAGCTGTATCAGGAATGGTTTCAGAAGAGTTAACTACTGATAAAGGCAATATCATTTTGTACAAACCTGTTGATCCATCTTTTCTATTATAAAAGAACTATTTCATTTTTTCCTTTACATTCCCCAAAAAAGGAAGGGAGAAAACCCTTAAGAATCCAGGGTTTTTGTTCAAAACCAACATACATCACAACGAACAAGTAAGGTTACAATGAACTATGCAGTTAGTTATGCCACGTAATTTTAACATCTGAAAAGGCAATTGTGCTTAAAAAAAAAAGTGAAATTATTGGAGAATGCGCAGATGGTAGAGAATCTTATACTGAACATTGAATAAAAACATTTATAAGCCAGTAATTTTTAACCTAATCCTATGGATAGTCAGGGGCTGTGCACAGAAATTCTTCTACATACAACACAAGTTTTCAAATGAACCTACTGGTAAAAATTATTCAGACTATCTCATACTCCGTGTAACATCTATAACATACCCTAGCTTACATCTATCAGTTTTCTATTTAATTTTCAAATGGTAATTACACGTGGCATTCATAAACCTAACTTCATTTCCAAGATGCCTACACTGGCTTCTGCATAATCTAAGTCTTCTAACTTAAATACAACTCATGTTTCCCACCTGACAAACGTCCTTGCACAGGCACGTTGGTGCCACAAGCAGGAGTGAGAAACTACATACAAAAATGCCTCAAGATGACACAGGTCAGGGTAAGGTGGCTGCACCGTAGGATCATCTGCACATCCTTCTGCTATTAATTCTTTCGCTAGGGATGGTGTGAGAATTCATCTTCGTTCTATTGTGTTTAAATCCTTAGACCATTAAACACCACATGTGCAACCGTACCAACTAAAATCTTGAAAGATGACTTTTAAATGGTTTTATTTTTTTGTAAAGCTATTCTACTTGGACAAAGTAGACGTTGAAGATGGAATACTACAGTCAACTATTTGTGGAGGGCTGACAACTGTGAGACAAGTCATTGCAAAGCGTGCGACTGTGGTAATAAGGATGGCGAGCATCTAACAACAGCTGGATTTGTATGCAAGTATGGAAATCCCCATCGATAATTTTATATATGTTCCCTACGGACAACCATCAGCTGTTTCCACATAATCCCGGTGTACAAGTGAGGCACAAAGGATTTGATCTATGTTGGTCTAATCTCTTAATGAGCAATTTCAAGTCCTCTCATATGGAAGAAGTCATTTGATATGCTGCTGTTGTTGGCTAAGAAGGTATCCCTGCTACATCCATGCAGCATGATGGATCTCTTAAAATAGCATTTCACCTGTTGCTACACTTGCACTCACTTGTTATGACTGTAGCCATTGCTAATTACTGGCGTCAAGAAGGCTCAAGTGTCACGGCAGCGTTTCACTCACAAGGCCCTGAAGAGAGGTCCGTGGAAAAACAAGCACAAAAACCCCACTGCACCCACTGCAGCCTCAGTTCTGCTACCGGTTTCTGTGTATTATTCCCTCGTTATTTGCTCTGGAGCAAAACGGGCGCGGGTTCACACCCGGTCTGCGGCAACCTCTCGTGTCCCCCGCGCGGGGCTCCCGCTCTGTTTCGGCAGGCGCTGACGCGCGTGGGCGCCGGGAGACCGCACAGCTCCTCCTCCTCCTCTTCATCCTCCTCCTCCTCCTCGCAGCGCCCGGCTGCGCTTCAGCGGGGCGGGCGGCGAAACGTTAAAACGCATGAAAGGCTCCACGCACCGCGGGCCTCCTGCGCCGGTGCGGATCACAGACCGGGCCCGGCCCTGCCACCCACTGG